GCGGAGCCAGGCCCAGGCGCCCGTGCGAGCGCGCGGGGTGCCAGCAGTGGGGCCCTGGGACCCGCAGCACCGATACCTCCTCTTGCGCGGGTTTGAAGGGGTTAATTGGGCTGGGATGTACGTGGTTGCGTTACATCTCTGATGGAAATGTTGACTCAAGGAGCCATGGCTCTAGTGAGTTTTGTACCACTGTAATTATTTTTAAACTTTTCTTTTTGGCTCTGTTGATAACAGCTTGGGACCGTGCCCGCGTGACCTGATTAAACTTACAAATTGTCAGCCGTGATCTATAGGACGCAGGAATATTGCTGACTGAGCACCGCTTTGGAAGTTCTTGGTTTAAACCAAAGTTAGGTTTAAAATGTTGTTCCCAGCAAGAGCACTGGCGATTTAAACACATACTCAGTATCCCGGCATCGCGATAGCAGCCAACTTCCCGCATGGCGAGGGGCGGTTTAATTCCGCCTTGCCTGTCCTGGGTCTGTGAGCAGGCGCCGTGGCGCGGTGTGCTGCCCGGCCGAGGAGCGGGGCAGCCTGGAGCGAGGGGCCGCCGGAGCCCCCGCACCCCGCTCCCACCGCGGCCGGGCCCCCGGTTCTGTCTCCACCCCTTCGGAGCCAGAGCCCGCGGGCACGCACGGAAACGGCTGCGTCCAAGCGATTTGTGCCGGTGGGAGCCGCGGCACCTCCCTGCTTCTCGCCTGGGGTCTCCTGTATTTGAGGAGCAAGGGGCAGCTTTTTCCCTGGGCGTTTTAAACCAACGCTCGGACCTCATAGGAGGGGTGGAATCCAGTGGTACAAGTCTCCGTAAGAGTAATGTGGTTCTTGGGTCCATTTGGAAGGAAATGAGAAGCAAATCAATTATTTCCAAATAAATAATGCACTTACTGTTACCACACGGTCTTGCATCAAAGTGATATAACGTAGAGGGCAACTCCAGCCTTGCCTGGATTTCGCTCTGCCTTGGAAAACAACCGGAAGGCGCGTGTCTCTGTCCTCAGGCTCCTCCAGCGCTTGCCGGGAGGCGTTAGGGGTTCTGTTGACAGCCCCCGAGGACGCTCCTGCTTTGCGAGGGACCGGGAGGGTCCTACAGCCCTGCTGTCGCCCCACGGAGGCAGGGC